ATACACGTTCAATGAAAATGGTCAAAAAAAAGTCAATTTTCATTCTCATCATCATCATCATCATTGTTAATATCTCTTATAAATTGTATCATCATCATCATGATATTAAAGAAAGAAAATTTCTTTTTCTGATTCATTATTATTATCATGATCATCATCATCATCATCTATTCGTATTTAGTGTGGTAATGGCAAACGAAAAACAAAAACAAAAAAAATCTGATTGTCTCGTTTTTTGTCATTTTCAGATCTTTTCTCTTCGTTCTGGTTGTTGTTAGCTCTCATTTAATGTCTAGCCTATCTATCTATCCATCTTATTTTGCTTTTTGTTGTTCTCGTTTGTTGTTTTCATTTCTACTAATTTTGATTTGAACAAATTATATTCGATTCTATTGCCAAGAAGGATCTCCAGAAAAAAAAACATATATAATATGATATTGTTTCATTATCATCATTATATTTTAAATTGCACTCTTTCTCTCTCTCTGGTAAATGTATGTTTTCAAAGATTTTATTTTATTTTTTTTTGCTGTTCATTTTCGTAAAATTTGATTACCATCAATTTTTTTTTTTTCGTTTCTCCCAAACAACACACATACAATGATATTGTGCAATTTAAAATATATATAAATGCTCACATCTACCACCACCGGCTTTACTTTTAAGCTATCATCATCATCATCATCATTTTTTTGGTTCGGACAATTGTAAATTTGTTTCCAATTGCACTGGTTTCGCTCATTCTCTCTATTTTGCGCTTGTCATTAGTTTAGTTCCACAGACACACACACACACACAAACAAATAATGATCCATTTTATCTGAACACCAGAAAAGAATTTCAGTAGTTTTTTTTGTTGGGTTTTAAAATTTCATTTTCCAGATATACAGTAAATCTACGTTTAAACGGTTTTTTTTGTTTTGTTCATTCATTTATATCAATTCTCAGTCTGAAACAAACAAACAAAAAAAGTTCAATACCACCAATTGGTACAGTGGCTCAATTCAATGAAATGTTTTGTTTTGTCCATTTTATTTGATCCAACGATGATGATGATGATGATCATAATCACCAAGATTTAAACGAAATCTCAAAATCCAAAATAATAATACAGTCTCATTGAATCATCTACATCATACCGTTAACAAATGTATCATTTATCATTATTCTATTGTAAAGTTTGACCGATAAACAAACTAATAACGACCTTGGGTCATCACCATCACTAACATACTATACAGAAACAATCAAATTGGATTTGAATCCAATTTTTATTCTGTACAAAACAATTTCATGTTTCATATTAAATTACTGATGATTATATACAGAAGAGGAATGGGCGAAAAAAATGAAAATGAAAATGAAAAGTTTAATTGTATATACCATGGGCATGTCATTTATTTCTTTGTTTGAAACAAAAATTAAATGTGCTGGTTCCACAATGTAAAATATTCGCTTTGAACATTTAAAGTTTTTTCCATTTCATTTTTTTTTGGTTTTGTTTGAATTTCAAAAGAAAAGTTATCCAAAAACGATCCATTGGAATCGGGTTTTTTCTTTGTGGCCAAAACAAAACTAAAAAAAATTGTTCCATTGAGAATTGGTTGGCCAATTTTTGTTTCAACAAAACGGAGAATTCTTCTATTTTCAGTACAAACATCGTAGTCGAAAATTGCATAAATCGATTCAAACGTTAAACATTCGAATTCGTAATTTTATCTGCGAAAAGAAAAAAAATGTTTTTCCCTCTTTTTTTTCATTGTGAAAGAAAAACTTGATTTTCAATTTACTTCTTTCTTCTTTACACACACACACACACACACACACACACACACAATTTTATTTGCATTCACATCCATCCATTAACCCTTGATATCAATTTCTTCGAGAATTGAAATCACCATCGAATTGATTGCCGTCGATTTTTGCCTTTTTTTGTTTTTTTTGTCCTTGTGTATGTATGTTTTTTTTCATTTATAAATTCTTTCGTTTTTGTTAATTATCTAGGGCCCGATTTTTTGTTTCGTTTTCGTTTTATAGTTACACCACAATCAAAATCGATTTCAAATCAAAATTTATGTCTACGTGTGAGTCGAGTTTTTTTTATTCTAAATTTTTCTTTGATTACATATATGATAGCCATTCAGATTGGATCACATCAGGTTTTTCTTGATGATTTAAATGTTTGTGTGTGAAGGAATTACGATTCGCCAAAAACAAGTCAATATTTCATTAACATGAAATAAGTTTTTGAGAAAGAGAGAAATGAAAAAAAGAAAAAACTTGAACCATTCATATATTTTGAAGATCGAAAGATATAACCCTAATAAGTGTCACAACAACAACAATAACAACGACAACAACAACAACGACAATGGCAACAATTTCAATTCCAATATCAATAACATGGCACCATACACTTGTCTCAATTTCAACATACACAAAGAATGAATGAATGGAAAAAAATCACTCACTCACACGCTCACAAACACAACACTCGATATGTCTTGTCAAGAATTATAAATTTCATTTCACTTTCTATCTTATTTCATTTTGTTGTTTTTGTTTTTATTTTTTTTCGCTTCTATTTTTTTTCTCCAATGATCATGTCACTGCACTATAGACCATGAATGAATGAATGAATGAATGAAAGATTGGAATCCCGGACAACATTACAACCAACAAACAACCAGTGTACAATTCAAGTGAAAGTGAGAAACAACAAAACGAAAGAAATAAAAAAAAATGACACATGGTTTGAAACAAAAGAATTTTGTTTTTTCTTCTTTTGCCACTTTTCACATTCAAGAATTGATGAAAAAAAAATTCTTATACTTTGAATGGGCGTTATTGTTGTAAAGTTTTTTGGAAAATTTGATTTGATCCACGATGATCATGATGATGATGGAACAAACTGAAAATTTAGTTTAACTTCCTGCTACTAAAATGGAGAAAAAAAATGAAAAAATAAACTTTTTGTTGTTGTTGCTCAAAGTTTTTCTTTCGAGAAAAAAAATTTTTGTTTCAATGAATTTTTCTTTTTTTTTTTTTTTTCGGTTCCGTTTCACGTACCAGAGTGTTTCATCAAAGGAAAAAAAATTATTTTTTTTTCGTCATTTTCTTTGATTCTAATCGATTCTTTCAGATTTCTTTTTTTTCCGTTTGTTTGAAAATTGGAATGAAAACATTTTACGTGATAGGATCGTCATCGTCTATAAAGTCGTGTGTCACATCACACACACATGAGCCATACTACTAATTTATTATTGTTGTTATGATTAGTGTTGTCAATTTTGTGTTTTTTTTTTCTGCTGTTGTTGTTGTTGTCTTTTCATTTCAAGAATTCAAAGCAAAAAAAAAAATATCAAGAATTTGTTTGCTGCTCTTTTTCTTATAATTTAGCTTTGATGATGTGTTCATATAATTGAGATTGTGATGATGATGATGATGATGATGAAGAATTGAAAATGAAATGAAAATGAAGAATCATTTTTTTCTGCTGTTTATTTCGACCAAAAAAAAAAAAAAATCAATGCGGATGATTATGTGGAATTGTGTGTTCATGGATGCATAAATGTGCTCTGCATGTGTGTGCAGATATTGAGAAATTATATTCAAAAATCGTTTACTCGATAATCGAATAAAATTAAACGATCTATACTACCATCAAATTCTTTCCCTAAAAAAAAAAAAATTTAAAACGCACTTTTAAATGGTGTCAATTTTGTTTTTTTCAAAACAGAAAAAAAAGTGATGAAAAAGAAATCATTTTGCAGACATAATGATAATGATGATAATAAAATAAATCTTTTTTTTTTTGTTTTGTTTTGTTTTTCTCATGAAACAAAACTAAAAAAATTCTAAAGAAAATCCTGTTATATTTTTTTTTCCAACGAAAAAAAAATATCATCATCATCATTATTCTATATTAAAAACTATGGATTCGCTAAAATAAATGTTTGAATGATGAAAATGAATTGAATATAAACTTTAATGAACGATAATCAAATGTGTGTGTGTGTGTGTGTGTGCGCACAAGTAAAATAATAATGAATGACAAAATCCAAATGAATAAATGGATAGAATGCGGATGGATCGTCTTTGAATTATATCATCATCATCATTGGATGCCATCATAATAGGCTTCGCGATTTTTTGTTCATTTTCATTTCATAGAGTTCTCGATAGCCAGGGATTTTTTTTTCTTTCATCATATCTTTTATAGGAAACATTTCGTTGATTCATTCATTCCTAATGAATCTCATTTATTTTTTTTTTCTGCGCTGACAAATATTAAAATACGATGATGATGGTGAAATGTAGAGAATGGACAACAAAATCTAAATCAAAAATTCGAATGCGATCATCATCATCATCATGGTCATTGTAACAAAACAAAACAGAATTCTTGATGAAATTGAATGAATTCGATATGAAGAATTTTTTTCTCATTGAATTAATTATTCCTGATTACTACAAAGAAGATGAAAATCAAAAAACAAAAATAAAAACAAAGTCTTTGTGATTCAAAGAAAACACAAAAAGTAAAATGAAAATAATGAGAAAATCCTGTCTGACATTGACAAAACCAAAAACACAAATTTTTTAAATGAAAAAAATGCCAATAATGAGATGAAAATAAAGGCAGAAACACGGGACATTGACTTGAAGAAAAACTTATGATATTTACTTGAACAAAAGGCTGATCTTTTAACTTGAATCAAAATGCACAAATCATCACAATTTGAATCAATTTTACAGAATCAGTGCTTCCATCTATTATTTGTTATTAGTTTTTCATTTTTATTAAATTTTAAAATAATTCGAGTTAATATAATAATGATAATAATGAATCTGAACAAGAAAAATTAAAGAAACATTCGAACCAGTGCCAAATTATCTGGATCAAATGAATGAATGAAATTTCTGGCGAATGAATAATAAAGAATTATATCAAAATAATATATAAAGAGAGAAAGGAGACAAATGTTGAAATGGAAAGAATGAAAAAGGAAAAAAGAAATTGAAATTTGAACTTGGCAAAAAAAAAATAAATTCATTTTCATTTTCTGTTGCCGTTTTTAAATATGGAACAATTGTGGAATCATCATGATAATGATCATCATCATCATCATCATCACATAAAACGCCTTGGCGTTGATTGTAGCTGCTGCTGTTTAGCTTTACTCATCCATAGATGATTATGTATTGTGAATGCATCGATTGTGACGCATAAATGTTTCGTTTGAATTGCAGTAAAACTTTTTGTACCCGAATTGTATCTGTTGGACAAGTCAGAATTAGATTAGTTCAATAAATTTAAACAAAAACCACCACTATTACTTACTTATAGAATTTATCAATCATATCATTATGTACGATTTTTGGTCCAATCCCATCCAATTTCGTCACTTCTTCACGTTCAGGATTATATGAATAAATGGCTCGATATTGTAGACCAGAATTACGAAACAATATCAAATAATATTTACTATCACATTTATTTATCACCTAGAAAAGATTATGTGCAATTAGTATGGAATGAATGATCATGACACCACTTACTTCAGTGACACGACGATTTGTATCGGAATTGACAGCACCGGCCAAAACAACATTTATAGCATTCAATATTAGTGCTTTATTCGATTTTTGACTTGGTTTCACAAATAATTTTGGGCCATTATATTCCTGAAAAAAATTACTGGATGTTGGACCTTGATTTTGCAGTTGTTGTTGTTGTTGATTATTATTATTACTACAACCAATACCGATTCCTGATGATAAATCCGTACCGAATGCAGACGAAAGACCAGCAAATGCGGATGAATGATGATGTTCACCAAAAGCACCGGTTGGTGTTGAAACAGCCGTATTGGATGATGAATTTAAACAAAGCTGACTACTCATTGCTGATTGTGGTCTTGAAATGTTCGATGTACCAACACCACTGATTGACGCTGCAGATGATAATCGTCCACAGCTCATTAGATCATCGATTTCATCACGTGATGTACTTAAACGTGATGATGATCCTGATACTGAACCAGAAATAGTTGATAAAGCAGCCGAACATTCATCCAACAATGTAGCATGTAATGATTTTGGCCGTGGTCGCTGTTGAGTGCCAGTTCCTTGACGCATTTTAACCTGCTGCTGCTGATGCAAAGATGATGTACCACCACCACCACGATTTAGTATCAAAGTGGATGAACTTCGTGCAACGGTACCTTGCAATGCAGCAACACCACCATTTTTTTCAATTTCTTCAGCCAATTGTTTACGACGTTTATATTGGTCGAAAATAAATGCTCGTTTTTCACGTTCTTCTTCTTTTTTTCGTTCCATTTGTTCACGTTTCAAACGTTCACGTTCACGTTTTGCGGCCAATTCCTGTTCTTTCTGTATACGTTTCTGTTCGTGTTGGGCACGCCGACGTAATGATTGTTTCATTATCGCTTCTTTTTTACGTTGCATTTCTTCTTCACTTTTTCCAGATAAAGATTGATTATTATTCATTGATGATGAATGTGATCGTTGTGGTGTTGCAGAGTCATCACCATAATAATGGTCATCACCACCATCACCATTGATCATCAATGATCCATTCATCATCATAAGACTATCTTCTAATTGATGATTCGTATCAGAATTGTTGAAATTATCATTTTGTAAATCATCAGCTGCTATTACAAATGAAACAGCAGGCACCGATGGAATTGATGGTCGACGTACATTATACAATTCTCGTATTCTTTCATCCATTTGTTCATCGACAACATTTTGTGATTTTTTTCCCGATTCTGTCCCACTAACTAATGTTTGTGTTGCCGTTCTTGTCAACGTTGGTTTATCATTCGATTCCGTTTTTATGGATCTTGTTCGTTTTGTTTGCTGTTGTTGCTGTTTTTGTTGTTGATTGCCACAATCATTGAATGAAATGAAAAATGTTTCAGTCTGCTGTGAAGAAGATGGTTGTGTTTTATTATTTGGATGCTGTTGTGGCTGTTGTTGTTGTTCATGATGATGATCATTCGTACTTGTTGAATTATCATTCAAATTATTATTATTAATCGATTGATGTTGTTGTTGTTGTTGATCGGTTACTGGAATTGTGGAAAATTGTTGAGGTGTTATTGTATGCGTCGGTGGTTGTGGTGGATAGCCAGACATTGGTGACAAAACATATGGATCTTGAGATGTTGCTGTAGCAGTAGTTCCTGGTGGACTAACATATGCACCACCACCATATGGATCATATGGATGCATTGGTGGTGGTGGTGGTGGTGGAACATAACCATATGGCGGATAAGCTGATTGTGGAGGTGGATGATGATAAGGCGATTGATGATGATGATGATGATGATACCATTGTGAATCATATCCAATTGGTGGTGCCGTTTGTGACCATGCTGGTGGTTGATGATAAGGATGTGTTGATGGTACAATTGGTGGTGCCGGTGGTAATACACCACCATGTATCTGATGCTGACCGGCCAATGGTATCATTGGTTGACCCCATTGACTTCTTCGTGGTGTTTGCTGTTGTTGTTGTTGCTGTTGCTGTTGTGATGATGATGGTGGTTGTGGTAATGGTATCGATGGTGTTGTTTGTGTTTGTGACTGTTGAGTGGATAACGGTTGAATAATCGCTGAAGAAGAGGATTCTTGAGATTGAATTTCTTGATCCAATTTATTATGTTCCGATGGTGGTGTTGTTGATTCTGATGATTGTTTTTGTTCGCTAGTTTCTACTATCTTTGATGATTGATCATTTACAATTGATTTGGTTGAATTTGAATCAGATTTTGATGAGAATGAGGAGTGATGATGCGGAGGATGATAATCTTTGGCATTTGCATAATTCAAATCAGTCATTGATGCTTTCAGATCATCAGATGCTGAAAAAAGATTTTTTCGTACAAACGTTGATTTATTATTATTAGTGGTGGTGGTGGTTGATGATGCTAAAACTGATGATGGAATACTGGTAAATGTTTTTTCACGTCTAATTGGATTCAATTCATGTATTTCAAATGTTAAATTATCATCATCCAGATTATCAGTGCGACAAAAATCCATTGTATCCATAATCATATCCTGTTGTTGGTGTTGATTTTTTAATGTTTTCAATACTTCTTGGCGAAAATTATGATCAGAAGAAACCCGTTTTTGCCGTTCTTGTTGTCGATCTTGTTCAATTTGTTTACGTTTTTCATTCAATTGTGCACGAATCAATGATTGATCAGCTGTAGCAGCACCAGTGCCAGTAATTGTGGAATAATCAGACATTTCAGCTATACTTGATGTATCACTAGAATTTGTTTGGCTATCATTGGCGTTGTTGTTGTTGTTATAAGAACCATGATGATCTTTATGATGATGATGATGATGATGTAATAATTGTTTAACATTATCAGCATTATTTGGATGTTGACGTTGTGCACGTACATGTGTATTATTATTAATGGCATTGGTTGAATGTTGCTGTTGCTGTTGATCAACAGTGGAAAGACTGGAAAAATAATCATTAAGATGGCCACCTGATGCACGTGAACGATTCTTATGATATTCATCATTATTATCTTTCATCATCATTGTACCATGATGGTTATTAGATAATGATGGTGTTAAATTTATACTAGAAAAATATTGTGATAATTGTGTGACATTTGGATCATCACTGTTATTTGGATTTGTCATTGGTTCAATATAAAGACTTTCATCTTCAACATCAGGTGATTGATCATGTAAATGATGATGATTGTGATTTGAAATCATTTCATTCATACCATTTGTTGATAAAAATGATGATCGTCGATTCATTGATTTATTCAATGAATTTCGTCTTGATGATGATGATGATGTACCATGTTGATGTTGTTGTTGGTGATAACTTAGTGTTAAATTAGATAACGTTCGTTGTGGTTGTTGTGTATACGATGGTCTATCATAGATTGGATGATTCGGTGGATATTCAACACTTGCACCACCACCTGATGATGTTTCAATTGAATCATTATTATTATTGTTATTGTTATTATTCCATGTTGATTTCAATGATTTTGCTTTCATTTCAGATGGTGTTAACATTTGTGGATAACCTAAATTAATAATGAAAATTTTAAAATCACATAAAATGTTCACAAATTCTCTTACTTGGATGATATTCTTCCTGATACAATTCTGGATAAAGACGAATATATGGCGGTATAACCGATTCAACTGGTTGTATTTCAAACATGAACAACAGATCAGCAATGAATGCTAGAAAATTCGGCACAATCGGTTCAGGTAAGTAGAGAAAATCTTCCAGCAATAAAAAACATATATCAGATGGAAATAATTCTTGACAAAAATATTGTATCCGCTGTAGATTATAGATAGAATCGGCAATAGAAATATCTTGTTTAAGGCAAATTTCACGCCAATCAACATGATCTGGACAATAGAATGCCATCAATGCAAACAATGAACAACCATCACACATATCACTTAATTCTTCTAATGAAGGCACAACTACTGGTGGTGGCGGCGGTGGTGGTTGACAATCCCCATCATCCGATTGTTGTTGTTGCTGTTGTTGAATATAATCTCTAGCAATCTCTTGATTAAGTTGAGAACAGGCACGATTCACCCAATAAAGTGCTACATCTTCTGGTTCAGTACTTGGTGGTAATTCTGTATAGACAACGCCATCAATATCTTCACCAGAAAATCGACTTGTAACTTCCATCACTTTGATTGGTATCAATATTTCACGTATATACAACATCATTATACATTCAATGATCACCATATGTGCTGCCTATAATCGATTACAATCGATTAATTACTATTATTGATAAATTTAGAAAAAAACTTACCAATTTAACAGGACAATTTTTCAACAACATTGTTTCAGTAATATGTTCACCAATTTCAGCAATACCAAGCTGATCGGTGAAAACACCACGTCTTGTCAATAATTGCAGAATATTCTGATGGCTAAATGATGAATAATCAGGTACACCATAAATGTTGGCCAATGCTCGGCCATATAATTCTGCATTGGCCATACGTTGTGTTATCCATGGTTTTAATAATTCTTGTCCTTGATGATCACGATAGAATGGATCACGTAGTTCGGTTGGTATACGGCCATTATCTGTTGCTTTCGCAATCAACCACAATATTGAAGCTCGATGTTTTGCCTGTAGAAAAAATTATTGCATCAAAAAAAAAAAAAAAGATTAATTAACAATAATCTTGAATACAAAAGACTAAAATAGTCAGATAGACAGTCAGAGGCTAATTATAAACTTGATCCAATTTTCATTTGTTGTGCGCGTGTTTCACACACTCACACACACACACAGATACCCGCCCACACAAAACAAAAAAAGGTTATAGATGTTACAGTTTACGTAATACGAATTAATATTGAACAGGAACCATATCTAAATATGGTACAGCGTTATTCAAAATGAATTGTAAATATTCCTTACAAACATACAAGGAACCAACCTTGCGCTACATTTTTTTCCAGAAAAAAAAATTCAAACATTCATAATGTATGTACTTAAAAAAAATCACATACACACACAACATACGTGCTTGATTTTTTTTTTTTTTTTTTTTGCAAGGACCACAGAGATTTTCTTTTCTTTATTTTGTTTGAAAATGACTTGGCACAAAAAAAACAAACAAAACAAAACACGAGAAAACATTCAGTTTCAATTCAGTGATAGTTTTTTCTTGTAATTAAATGATTTTGCTGTTGAAATAAAACATTTTTGTGTGTTGTGTTCCAGAAACGGACATTTATTGGCATGTGTGTGTGTGTGTGTGGTGGTCATCAATTTCATCAAACATTTAAACACACGCATACACACACACACCTTTAAAAATATGAATGACCAGCTATCAACATACCTGTTTGATCATTTTTAATGTTAAACATTTTTGTTGCGTTTGACCATTTTTAATATTTATTAAACGACCATTATTATTTTGTCGTTGATTTTTATGATGAAAAATTCGTACCATCATTTGAAAAACATTTAAAGAATTGAAAAAAATTCACACCAAACTCACTAATTAATTACCAAATGAAAAAATGAATTTCGATAAAAACAATGAACATAGACGACAATTTATCGCACACACAATAAATCATCATTCGTAGTTAATGTGTGTGTGCGTGTGAATGAATGGAAAGACAACAAAAAACGTATATTTCAAACACACAGAAAGGCAGCAAAAATATGATCTGCTTAAATTTTGTCATTATGTATTACGGCACAACCTGTTGCTGCTAATGTTTTATTGTTAGGCCTGGATTACTACCACCACCACAACAACAACAAGAATTGGATATAGAAAGAAAAAACGTCGTAGATATAGGTGTAATCTATTGTTAATTTAATTAACCGGGATTAAATTACAAACAAAAAAAAAATTCACACACACAGACGGGCAGCAAAAACAATACGAAAATTTTCTTTTCTTTGTTTTAAAAACAATGAATATTGGTATATACCAGAACCCGAAAAAAACAAAAATTATCCAATCATTCCAATAATCTATTATAATAGATCGATCAATCAACTACCAATACTACTACTACTACTACTGCAATCATATTACAGGTATATTTAATTCAGAAAAAAAACAATACAAAAACATAGTTACAATCAATTTCCAAATCTCATCATCATCATTTCAATCAAACAAATAAAAAAAAGAAACAAATAAAATTATACAATTGAAACAATTTGGGTAAAAAAAATGACATCCTTGTCACTTGTTTGTATTTTTTTTTCTTCTTCTTTCGCTGATAAAAAAATACGAAAATCTTCTTATCGAAAAAAAAATGAATACGAAATACATTTATAGATTGAATCTAATAACACACACACACAAACATACACAATGGACGGAAATCTAAAATTAGATCTCAAAGATTCACCATCACTGGCCATCAGCACCACCATTACCAATTTCTACTAAAATAATAACCAATCGACTGGCTGACTGACTGACCGACAACATCATGTACTCATCATCATCATCATCATCATCGTATTAAGAGTTTGTGCCAACAAACTTTTTTTTTCAAAACACAAATCGGTCATACATTCATTCATTCATTCAGTTCGATCGGTTGATCGATCGATTTGTCTATGATGAAGAGTAGCGAATGAATGAATGAATGACCAACTTTTTTTTTCACTTGCCACCAATCACCACCACTAATAAACATCCTTCAAATGAAAAACAAAGTTGGCCATTGGTTTGATGGCCTGGAACAGAAAAAAAAACAGAAAAAAATGAAAATTAATTATTAATTCAATAAGCAGAACAACAAAGTAAAGTGAAAAGAAATGTAAAACCCGATTATCATATATGCAGCCACACACTAAACTGACTATTATTTATGATTTTCTTTCCTGATTTTTTGTTTTCGAAACCAAACCAAAAAAAAAAATGAATAAAATAAATCAATGCCACGCCTATATCAATCATCGATTATGATTATGTGTGTGTGTGTATGTGTTCGAGCAAAAGTTTTCAATTTCAATTTCTTTTCTTTTCTGCACAAGAAATCTAATCCAATCAATGAAAAAAAAGAGTTATTCAAATTTATTATATAAACGCGACAGACGATTAATCGGTTGATGATCGGATGGAAAATTTGGATAAATTTTTTTCTGTAAAAGTAAATCTTGTTTTACGTGCTTTTTCATTGTTTCTTTTACATCGCTTCCTGAAACATATACACAAATTAAACATTAAAAATTAGGGAAACAACAAGGAAGACTTCAAGCTTGTCAAAAAAACATAATTAATAATGGACCAAAATTGGTAATTATCAATCATTTTGTTCAACAAGTTATTAGGGTTTTTTTCACACAGAGCCATAGGGCAATAGACATTATTAAAGAGAAAAATCCGAAAATTTTTTTTTCTTACAATCATTGTCATCATCATCATCATCACCATCGACATCAACATCAACATCGACAAGATGAAAAAATGTGAAAAACCAAGATTGACAAACATCGACTGGAATGAAGATGATACTTTTTTTTTGTTCAAGTGAACAAAAATTGATTGAATATTGTAAAAAAAAACCCAGAAAAAACACACACACACACACAGACATCGAATACCCGATCATTTTTTCGGTGTATTTATGTATAATCACCTTGTTTTGTGTCCGACAACAATGATAATGACTATGATCATTATCATTGCTGCTGATGGATATAACCCAATATCATCATCATCATCATCGTGAAATCATCAAGAAAAAAACGGGAAAAAAACCAGTTCGAAAAAAAATTCAGCCACACACAAAGTTCATCAAAGCAAGTCAATGGAATATCTATCGATATGAATGTAATGAGAATATAAATCCAAATGTAAAGTGAAAAAAAAATTCAAGCTCAGCTAACCCATTGTATCTGTTGCATTGATCGATGAATATTTGGCTGATGATGATTTTGGTTGTTGTTGATCAATAATAATGATGATGATAATGAATGTTTCGGTGTTATAGGTTCATGCTGATGATTATCATCATCATCAACATCAACGATATTATCTTTTTGATGATTTGTTTCTTCAATCAATGAACCTGATGTTGTAGATGTCGATGATGAACATGATGATGATGATAATGTCAAATTTCGAATCGAATTATTTAAATTTTTTGAAGATTGTTTCAAATGCTGCTGTTGCTGTTTCATGGATGACGATGATCGTAAATTCAACATTGATTTCGATTTATGATTCATTGATGATGGTGAAGTTTGTTTTCGATGATTTTTCGATAATGTTGATCGAATAATTGTATTGGAAGAATTTGTTGATAAATTCTGTTGTTTTGTAGTACTTGTAGTAGTAGTGGTAGTAGCAGCCGCTGCTGCAGCTGCCATCATCATCATCATTTGTTGTTGTTGTCGTAGACGATAATGTTGTTGTTGTGCCATTAGATAACAAGATTTTGAATATGGTGTCAATAATAACAATGAATGTTCACGTTCATTGTTGATTGATCCATTTGGATCATCAACATTAACGTCATCATGATGATCATCATGATTTATTGATGATGGATTATCATAATCATCATGATAATTATCACCATTTTGTTGATGTTCATAATCTGCTAATGACCATTGTGATTGATGTAAACAACGTTGTCGTTGTATTTTACGAAAACGTTCATTTGGATATACTTTTGATGGTAATGTACCATTGTTATTCAAAAATGTCGATGATGAAGATGGCGTCAGATTCGATGTTGAACGTGCCGTTAGATAGACCATTTTGTCCCAGTAAGATAAAAAAACAAACAAATCGGAAAACTTTTGTCAACAGAAACAACAGCAAGCAATTATGTATTCACACACCAAACACGATCCAAGACAGTAGGATGGATAGAAAAATGTGAAGATGGCCAACACCAAAACTCTATATCTCCACTATATTGAAATAGAATAAACACAATTCGATCAACAAAAAACATCAGGCCTGAAACACACAACAGAACTGAATGGACAGAAATGAACATCAACATTATCAACTCCTACATTACATCATATTAAAAGAGAACAACAACAATCATCCAATGGTTGAGAAAAAAAAGTGAGAAAAAGAGATGTTTATTCTCCATGCATTGAATCATGAACACACACACAGACAGGCAAATACAATAGGAATGATTGGCCGCCGATGCCGCCACTACAACTATTTTGATTTTGGAATCCGTGATCATAGTTAGTTGATGGTTTTTTTTTGATAGGCGCCAAAAATCATATAACAACAACAAAAGCAACAAAATAGACATGACATCCACAACATCATATAACGGACAGTTCAACAAGATAATAATAACGATGAACGAAACGAAACAAGAGACGAATGATGAAAACTGGAAATGATTCGACCAATCGACCGAACGAACGAATACAGAAACAAGATTGATTTTTTTACTCAATCATGATGAACAGAACGGGGGGAAGAAAGAAGAAAAATAAAATGAAAGGCTCATTTTAGGCCTCATTCTAACATTATTGGCTACACACACACACACATTCATCTACTTTTTTGAGAATGGAATGTTTTGAGATCATCATCATCATCATCATCATTGTGATTCAGCCACATCACTTCTCTATCTCATTTTTTCCCGTCATAATAATAA